AAGTCAGCTGATTAGACTTGGCACACACAGGAAACAGAACAGCTAAATAAAAGTATGCCATTTATACATGGCCACATTTCAAAGCAGAACCATAGCCTATGACATGTGTGACGTTTATTTCATGAAGCACTTATATGGAGGAAGATGTTCTTCTAGATTTTGTACTTGTAGATAAAAGGGTTTGCAAGTGAGGCAGGCTGGAGCTAATCTCCGTTGGGGATTCCACCAAGGATGAAATGTTCTTAATTGCTTTCTTCCCTTGAAACACCACTAACATAATAATTAATATGTAATTTTCTATTGCTAGAGTCTTTGGTGGAAAAGATAGCAAATTGTAAGGCTTCACAGCACCATCTGCAGAAGTGGCTGATAGCAGGTATTTCAGAGAAGAAATTAAGATCCCCCCAAAATGGACAATAGTGGATAACGTTCTTAGGAAGAAAATAATTTTCCCCTAGTTCCAAGAAGTTTATCATTTATGATGTTCTAAAACATGAGAGCTGATATCCCATATACAATATTATCTTGTATAATTGTGGATATTCTCATTATCAAAACAAATGTTTAATCCTTTCTTGAATTCTGCTAAACACTTGGCACTGAAGCCTACAAGTTAATTAATGCATTATATAGAAAACTTTTGTTTAATAACTTCTAACTTGGCAGACATTTAGTTTAATTGCTGTATCCTTATTATGGTGCCATGAGGCTAAACAGAAGCATGTGGGACCTTCTATCACTCGTTATTTCATATTACCTCCTACATGTTCACTCTTATCTTTAAATTAAAACAGTTCTAGCCTTTTCAACCTTTCCCTATATGAAAGCCCCTCCATTCTTCTAACCTTTTGTAGTTGCCCTTCCCTAGACCCTTTTTCCTGCTATATTGACTTGGTCAGTCTGTTAGAAAGAACAGACGATTTCAGATGAGAGCATTCCATTGGTTCATATAATGACAACCTTATCTACTACTAACATCTTGCTTGCCTTCTGTCCACTGAGCTATTCACAATGATCTAGGTCTCCTTCCCAAGGGGTTACGTAAACTTGGAAATCAACAATGTGTAGAAGCAATTTAAATAATTTTTTTCAAACAAATTATTCAGAACAACTCAGTCTACACCTGTTTTCATCTGCTATCAAGCGTGACAGCCATCCCTAGCTTTGTCCCACTCTTTTGAACGACCTCACAGTTCTCTTCAGATGCAGCTCACCCCAAAAAATCTGGGCATATCAGCAAATGTTGCAAGACCTCATTGTTCACATTTGCACCATTTCTTCCAAACAATTTCCAGAGGCCATTCCACTGGTACTTTAAGTATACAACACACCCCTGAATAAGATATGTATCATTTTTTGGAATGGTAGAATGAAGAAAAAATAATCTTCCCTTGAAAATGCCAGTAAGCATGGTATGGAAACACAGGAAGCTATATGGGGGTGGGGGGAACAACACATTGTGGCTGTTTTGATAATCTCCTAAAGGCAGGATGCCACAGGTGCTGCTGGCTGACCCAAAATGCCTGACCCCTCTTCTCTTCTCCAGCTGAGCTGGGTGCACAGTCTGTAGCACCTGCCAGGAAAGCAGAGCCACTCTTAGCCAGCCCTACCTGCAGAGTCAGTTGAGGGCTCACCCAGCTGATTCATCAGGAACCTCTATCTCAGCACTCAGGGCTCTGCTGTCCTTTAGAAATACAGCAGAGCTAAGCTCCAGGGGCTGGGGTGGAGGCTCTGAAGTCAGTACCAGTTTTTGCAGCATATGCCTCTGCCAGGGAAAAGGGAAAGTAGTGCTGCATGTGGACAGTAAAGTGGGCATTGCAGAGTTCCTACTATCGATTTCCAGCAGCGAAGCACCCCTGCATGTTCACTGTGGTGCTTCCTGTGCAGAAAGAGCTATGTTCTGTCCCCTGCAGAAGCTGCCATTGCTTTATTTTCTTCCTTAAAACATCTATCTCAATTTCATGCAGCTGTTTTGTTTTTTAAAGGTGTGTTTTGTATGTGAGAAAATACAGTAACTTCCTGTATTTTCATACAAAAAGCGACCATTTCTTTGGAGATTCTTTTTTGATCCCTTTACTATATCACTTGTCATTTGAGAAGGCAATGTGGGCAACCACCAAAAACAACAAAGCAGGATAGGTAGCAAATTAGGAAGCAGTGAACTAGTGAAGCAATGATATCTGTGTTTAGGGATCCCAAGACATGGATGGTATCCAAACCATGATTACCAGCATTTGTATCACCCCTCTTGCTAAAAGGCCCACATTGCAGGATGCCATAGTTTCTTCTCCTCAGACACATTTTTCTGACAAAGTGTCCTGGGGTGTGGAGAGCAGCCAGGCATACTTCTAGCCAGTGCCTCTGGAGAAACTAGACTGCTTCTTCCACTTCCAGGGTCCCACCTCAGAATTTCCTCATCACCACAAGTTTCCTATAGCTTTCAGGAGAGCCTGGGGAGTCTACCCTGATTTTTCTGCTGAGAAAGAATAGCAAAGGGTAAGGACAGGCAGCTGAGCACCCGTGTACTGTGTATTCTGGTCTTGAGGAGCGCTCACATTTGTATTATTTGGTGAATTATTCATTTTAATCATTAATCATTCATCCATCCCTAGAATAAAATCTTGAAGCTTGTTTGTATTGCTCTCAGCTGCAAATACTTGTCAAGTAGAGAAACTGGACTGAACCAAAGAGCTGCTTCAGCCTTTACTGCAATTTAAACAAACATCCATATTTAGCTACCATATTTACCTGAATCCACACTGGCCCGGAATTGAAGATAACCCCCAATAATTATATTCTAGCTATAAACATAAACATTTATTATCACTTTCCATGTATATAATTTGCCTTAAATTCATCCCCTCTACTGCTGCAGTGGGGAAAGCAGTGGTAGGGGGCACGTGTATGGGGAAGCAGTAAGGGGGCGGGGCAGTAGGGAGGCAGGTGGTAGGGGCAGGTAGTATGGAGGTGGTGGGGAGGGCAAGCAGCTTACCCTCTGCTATCTGCCCCCCTCTCCTCCATATACTTCTCCCTTTTTCCTGCCCTGCCAGCAGCATCTTCCCCACACTTTCCCCTCTCCGCAGCTTTAGGCCCCAACCCTGCTCCTCCATCTCCCTCCCACTCTGTCCCTCACCTGCCCCCACAACACCAACATGGAGTCATCACTGCTGCTATGGGCCAGGATGGGGCTGTGTTCCTTGCCCCAGGCTGGAATGGGGATGGAGCCTGCTGGCATGGAGCAAAAGTAAGGGGAGTGGAGGAGCGTAAGGGGCAGAGGCTGCAGGGGTTGGGGGAGAGACAGGGAGAAAGGAAAGCAGGGGCCCAAGCCTACAGGGGGAAGAGACAGAGGATGTAAAAGTGGGAGGGGAGCATGCAGCAGTAGCAGCTCTGGCCCCAACCCTGGGTTGGGGCCAAGGCTGGGGTCGGGGCCACAGCAGCTGCCTGCCACCCTCAAATCCAAGATGAGGGGCTCCCCCGAATGTTAAATGGGGAAAAAAATTGCATCTTGGAATCACATAAATGTGGTAGTTTTTCTCAATGGAACTTTTACATTATCTAGTCTGTCGGCCAAATGAATACTGAGAAGTACGTACATATGACTGCAGTCTCCATAGGGATAAAGACAAGCTACAGATTATTATTTTATGCACGTCAACAAGTTATCCAAACCCAAGGATGCCACATCTAGTTTGACGTCACAGGCATACCAATACCTCAAAATCTATGTACCTCAGCCTGAAAGAATGATTTAATTTGACTGGGTTTAGGCACCCAGGACCCCAACACAGCCAATGAGGAAAATCCAAATTGTAATCCAGTTTGACAAAGTTTAGGCAGTTAAGTGCAATACACAGAGAATGAGGTGTGGGGGGGAAGAGGTACCCCCAAAGGAAGGTCTAGGAAGCTCAGGTGTGCTTACAGGAAACTCTAATTCCCAGGCATAGGTCTGAGCTGAACAAATACAGAATGCGTACTTCCAGGACAGAGGGTAGGTTGGTCCATAACAAACTTTTAGGTGGTGCCTAAAAGCTTCTAGTCCAGGTACCATTCCTAAGACTTGAAGCTTGGTGAGGTGAGGGCCCTCTGAGCCCTGTTGCCAGGACTTTTAAAATACTTTATTAGATAATCCTTAGTTAAGAAAAAGAAAGAGCCTCTGGAATGGTGTTGTCAACATACGTTAGATATGCTCCGAGCACGTTTAATGGATCTGGTCTCTCTGGGGTATTAGACACCTCCATGGAACCAAACTGGATCACCATGGAGCTTCAGTGGGAATTAGATGTCTTAGTGACCAAACTGGATCACTTCTGAGCACACTGGATTGCTTTTGGGTGGAAAAACGAGGGTAGGTGTAAAAAACCCAAAATGGAGGCCCTGCTTAGCTGTCTATGGGGCTTCATGGCTTGAAGAACAGGCACAAGCTGAAATGTTTTTTGGAACTTAAGGTGCCTAAGAGCTGTTAAGGCACTTCTGAGACCAAACTGGATCTGGCCTTTAGTCATTACTAAATCCCTGAGAATTAGTAAAGAACACTACTTCTTCTATTAAATCAGTTTGTGTATTTTATTTGCTAGGAAATAAATTAAATCAAAAACCGTAACTACAGAAAAATCAGTGAATATTCTAACAAAAATTCTAAACAAATGGATTGGAAACCCTGACTGTATGCAAAAGTATACGTTCAATTTACCATGGAAAAATTAAATAAGCATATCTACTCTGAATTCACTAGTAAACATGGTTTGAAAAGGTAGAATCTTTTTTAAACCAGTGAAATGAAGGGAAAGGAATATAAATGTAATAATAGAGTTCCTATCTGGGATACCATGTAACACATGGGGATATCTGTAAACAGCCTAGTAACAGCAAGCACATTCTTAGCTTATTATTTTTTTTTTATATTCAGACCTTTTTAATAACACTGTGTTTTCAAAGGTTGAGAAATTGGGGTGGCAAAAATTCAATAGAAATGTAATGGATGAACAATCATAACATCTCACCTGTATTTTGTGCAAGTAGAGTTTGGACCTGAAGGTGCTGTTGGGTTAAGAGTGATTCGTGGTGAGACCTGAGCTGACAGCAAAAATCCCAAAGCTAGGATAATGAGTGCTATAACAGTACCTAAAAACAGAAAAATAAAAAAGTAATTTTACTTCAGAGAACATGAAATAATTCTCTGCTGAATAGATGTGTTTAGAAAAAAAACACCAAGACACCCAATTTACACTGGCACTTAGCAGAGCATTTCCTACAATGTTAACCTGTCCTTTTTGGAATCTGAGAATACCCTTTGCTACATGACAACACTGGTATCAGCTGGAGGTAGCTTGCTGCAGGCCCTCAAGGAGCCAGCCTCTCTCCCCTTCCTCCTCCTCAGGATGCTGGGGAGTCTGAGAGAGCCCTATACCACTTCATATGACTGTCCACACATTACATGGGAAGCTCCAAAAAAGTTCCTCTTTGAAACTGGAACTTCTTTGCAGTAGATTCTCTATTTTTGTCGTGAATCTGTCTTCTCTGTAGTGCTACAAACATCCTGAATGTGTGGGCACTCATTTTTTATAGTCTATATGGGCATATATAGTCATACAAATATCATGCATGTCAAAGGCCTGGATGGTATATAGACAATGCTGTTTAGAACAGTATAAACATTTTACCAGATGCTGTTTTGGAATGGCCTGTAAAACTCACGTGTGGCTTCACCACTCATGAATAACGCAGCTATCCCAAACTTTAGGCTGATACAACCTTGGGAGTATATTATACCATCATGCAGCTCTTCAATTATTCATCTGTTTCACACACACAAAATATGTGCACGTGTATGTCTAGATGTCTGGCTACAGCATACTAAAGCATATTTATGAAAAACATCTTATTTCAAGGGTTCTACAGAACTTTACAAATATGGACTGATATTAGGCAAAGAGAGCTTTAACCTTATTTATGTGGAGCTACTGAATTTTCCTGTGACATATAGGGACAGAGTCATGAATCACTGAGCCACCCCATGAGCAGATGTCCAGCACAGCACAGAAAGACTTCATAATAGTTTAGGAAAAGCAAAGAAGAACGTTTTATCCTATTCAAATGCTCATTGGGAAGGAAGGCAGAATGTGAGGGACTAACAGAATAACTCACATTTCTAAAATCCTGCACGTATGCTAGAATATGTGCTTGACACTACTTGTAACATGGTTCTCATACAGTTTAAGAAAAATACAGACTTCTTGAAAATAAGTTTACCAAATTAGAATGGGGGGGGGGCAGGGGGCAGACAGAGGAGATGAGGGAAACATTTTTTCTCTCAGGTTCAAACAATTTCCAGTAGACCCAAATTTATTTGATACATGATTTAGCAAAATTAATGTGAATGCATTAATTGGGAGTGTTTTGGACATAGTCATATTTATGTAAGTGGGTAGCTCTGCTTCTGATGCCAAAAACTTATGCCAGATCAGCAAGCATAAGTATTTGGAAAAATTATGAATTTATCATGAAAATTAAAATGAGGATTTTCAAGGCATTCTGTATTTGGCTTTGTGTTGCTTCTAGTACTCTTTATACCAATGATCACGGTCCTCTGGGCATGATGGATTTCAATACCAGATTTAACATGTTTTCCAAAATGCTATAAATCAGAGGCCGCAGCTGGAGTACTGTGTCCAGTTTTGGGCTCCACAATTCAAAAAGGATGTGGAGAAGCTTGAGAGAGTCCAGAGAAGAGCCACGCGCATGATCAGAGGTCAGGGAAACAGACCCTACGATGACAGGCTGAGAGCCCTGGGGCTCTTTAGCCTGAAAAAGCGCAGGCTCAGGGGGGATCTGATGGCCACCTACAAGTTTATCAAGGGTGACCACCAGCATCTGGGGGAACGTTTGTTCACCAGAGCGCCCCAAGGGATGACGAGGTCGAATGGTCACAAACTACTTCAAGATCGTTTCAGGCTGGACATAAGGAAGAACTTCTTTACTGTCCGAGCCCCCAAGGTCTGGAACAGCCTGCCACCGGAGGTGGTTCAAGCACCTTCATTGAACACCTTCAAGATGAAACTGGATGCTTATCTTGCTGGGATCCTATGACCCTAGCTGACTTCCTGCCCTTTGGGCGGGGGGCTGGACTCGATGATCTTCCGAGGTCCCTTCCAGCCCTGATGTCTATGAAATCTATGAAATCTCTGGACATGTTTCACATGGGGAACTATAACTGAATTGATACTCATTTAAAATATGCTCTGTCTGTCTTTCAGGAGGTTAACCTCAGACAGAAACATCTCCCCTCTTCTCTCTCCTCCTTTTATAAAGAGAGGTAGTTACCTGTGTTAGTCTGAAATTAGGCAGAAGGAACAGCAAGGTAGCACCTTGAAGTCTAACTCATTCAGAAATGCATAAGCTCTCATAGGAGATAGATTACTTCTCATAACATCTGGCAAAGATTGTATGTTTCTGAATGAGTTAGTCTCTGAGATGTCTCCTTGCCCTGCTTCCTCCTTTTATAAAGAAAAAGGAAGGTATTTAAACTTGGAAATTACTTATTATATAACATTTTCATTTTCTGAGAAGCTGTAGCTAACTAAACACAATCCAATGTAACTTAGCATTAACTGATACTAAAAATTTAAGTACTCTGAAGATATTTTATGTCCTTTCCCTTACACAGTACTAAAAGTTGTACTAAAAGTACAAATGGATAAATACTGCATGTTCCCAGACTGCCAAGTTCGTAGGAAAGAAAAAAGAAGACATTATACTTGTCAAAATCTCTGCCTATTTTCCATTTAACAAGCAGGGTTTAAAGATATCGAACAAAAGAAAAAAAGACAATTGGCATCAACATACAGCAGGAGCTGGAGTTGAATCAGTAGCTAGCCATGTTAAAACTTCATCTGTTTTCACCCTCTCTCGCAGAAAGTGGCCAACTATAACTTTTATAATTTTTCAAGGATGTAGCATCATGACTAGAATCTTTTTTTTTAAATGCTGTCAACTTTTGAAACTGATGAAGCAGACTCAAATAGATATTCTTTTGCAAAACACTGGTTGAGAATGGAAAAGCTTCAACTTAGTTTAGAAAAATGAAATTTAGGTAAATTTACTTTTCATCCAACTATTAACACTGATATTATAGTCCATAATTTGTTCATTGCAATGCTAAGACCATGTCACAAAAAATACCTGGTTAAACATATATATAGCACAATTCTACTTAGGACTCCAGAAATCTACTTAGGACTGAGGTATTTGTGAATGCTTTTTTTTCCCCCCCAATTTTTCTTCCGCTTAGGCCATGGACAGACCTTATATTCGTAGCACTATATACACCCTTGTAGTGCTACAAAAAGCTGGTGTGCCAACATGCGTTGTAGTGCTACAAGAATAGAGCAAGCGCTATAAAAATATTCTCATTTGAAACAGGAACTTCTCTGGAGCACTTTGTTTTATAGCACCATATGTAACATCTGTACAGTTCCATGTTACACTACAGGGAGTCTCCTGGTCTCTCAGCTTACCAGAGTGCTCTGCTCTCCCTTCCTTTAAAGGGAGAAGAAAGAAGGGAGGGAGGGAGGGTGGTAGGCTTCATGACAGCCCACCACAGGGAAAAGAGTAGGAGGGAGCAGGGCAAGGAACTGTTGTTCCCAGACTTAGAGAAGTAACTGTCAAAGACAGACAGTCCACTGCTGCTCAAGGGAGTGGTGGTGGGGGAGGGGGGCAAGGAATACTGTTGCCCCCAGTCCAATGTAGACCTGTCGATGACAGCTCACTGGTCCCAAACTGTCTGTCGTCTCTGTTCTCTGCAGGGGCAGGGATCATGGCTGACCACTCTATAAGTGATTGGCTGCCCACAGATCAGTGTCAGTGTGCATGGATGACTGACAGCATACCTGATCCCCCTTCCCTGGTGACTTTGTAGCAATCCAGCCAGGGGGTTCTAAACATGTGTACACTCCTCTTAGTGTTATATTTTTATAGTGCTATGAAATGCTACAAATGTACGACTTCCCATGGTCTTAGCCTTCATAACTCACTATACAAACATTAACCAAATTAATCCTCACAAAAGAATTATGCAGTCAGTATTTTTACTGTCCTCATTTTGCACAGTGAGAGACTGAAGGGGCAGGTCATGTGGCTTGTCCAAAGGCCAAGACACAGTCACTCTAATAACCAGGAGTCAGAAGTCAAGATTCTGAATCCCTAATGAGGCACAGAAGAAGGATACAGCGAAATATTCAGGCTTGCTAACACAACAAAATCCATTCTTTGGGAAAATAATACCACCCACCAGAGGATCTAATGAGCTTCTAATAATTACTCATTTAGCAAACATCTCTCCAACAAAAGTGCTTTGTATGCTGCACAGACCATTAAAATAGAATAATAAGGGATACATAAGGATAAAAATATCAGAAAATGTGCAACTTGTAAAATCACCCCTTCCTTGCCCCCTAAAATTGAAAACCAGTTATCATGCAAAAATTTCTAAGCAGGATTTAGAGACTGCAAGTGGTCTCAGCCTTGACTTAAGCAAAGAGGGTCTTGTTTCCCCCCCTTTTTTGAAGTCAATAAGAAAATGAAAACAATAAGCAACATAGTGCTGATTAAGCAGACCTTGCTGAATGAAAAATAGCAGCTCAGCAGAGAGCAAGGACATCTTAATTTTGCAGGCTTTTTCTGTGTCACAGTACCATATACATAAGACCCTATTATAATCCTGTTCTTATTATTATTTTATTTCTGCCTGTTTACTTTTTTTGAGACATATTTATGTGAATATTTTCAAGTTGCCAACCTTACATTATCATCAACTGGAGGGCAAGGTCACTATGACCACTGCAGAGAGAATTGTCAAAGGCAAAGCGCAAACACAAACAGCTGGCTCTTATCAACCATTAATACTCCCAGAGGTTCCCAGGAGTAAGAGGGATCTAAGGCCTATAAAAGCCAGTCCTAAACTGATTCCAGGGAGGTGAAAGGAAAAGATAACATCCAAGAGAGCTGGGATGCTGCCTGAAAGCGATAGGTAGGGGGAGAGGTCCATGGGCCTGATCTGGCCTGTTCATCCAGCCCATGGACTAATCCTGGGCCACTCTACTGGCCTATGGGGTCAGATGAGTTTGATACCCTCATATTAGCTTATTGTCCACTGTAACCCCCAGGTCTTTCCTGCAGAGCTGCTGTTTAGCCAGTTAGTCCCCAGCCTGTACTGGTGCATGGGATTATTTTGTTCTTAGTGCAGAACTTTGCACTTGTCCTTATTGAACTTCAAGTTGGGATATTGTTTAGGGAGTTTTTGCTTTATACTCTCATTTTATTATTCTATCTACTTTTGTAATTAATTTTTCTCTTTTTTAAGACAGGTCATGTTTTGCTCTGATTAATAAATTATTAAACTGGCTAGTAAGTTACCTATACTCTTTGGATACTTAGATTTCTGATATGAAAACCACACATCTGTCAAATTGTAAATCCTTACTCTAAAGCAGGGAATCCCCAAAACTTTTCAATTATACATTTTTAAAAGAGTTATTCCCAACACCCGAAGGAATACAAAATGTATTTTCCTCCAGCCTTATTTGCACAAATGGGTGAACTGTTTTACCTGAAACTTTTCAGAAAAATTAACCTGGAAGTGGATATTGGCATGCAAAACTACAGCTGAAATGGTTAAAATCTGGCAAAATTATAAGTAAAAAACTTGGTCTTATTATGGAAATTGCTGCATGTTAACTGCAGGCAGTGATACCATCTCTGATGATTACATTTTCCTACAGATGTTCTGAGTCAGAGAAACTGCTAACCCTATTATCATTCCTACTGTGAGGGTGTATAGTTAATGGCTAAAATTCATAAGCATTCAGAATTTTACCCTTTGGTATTTTATATCAGCATGAAAATTGCCCACTTTATAATATGTTAAATCATTAACTGCAATGCTGTTACTATTTTATATCTGGGGTGTAATCAACAGAACAATATGCTTTTTAAAAAGTATACAATAATTACAAATGTATTATACTTTCTGTAATATTTTCTGACAAAATGTTCCATGTCCACTTGCATATCTAATAACTGCACATACTATATACATTTAAGAAGAACCCAATTGTGTAGTTATGAGCATTTGGTTTCTCCCAAAAGAAAAATCTTAATAGGCCACAAATATGGTCAACAATACCCTAAAGTAAACAAATAGCCCTTATGATTAAAAAAATATTTTATTCTTGACCCTTAGCGCGCACTGTTTTCATTCAACAAGTGCCCGTATACTTCAGTATTGTGTATTCTTAAAAAAAACCCAACAACAACTTTTAAGGAAAAATAAGGAGCCAACAGTTTATTTTTCTTAGGACTGTGTCAACTGTGGAGACAGTCAGAACAGTAATTTCACTTTCCTAGTTTTCATTCCCAATTAATCACACACCTGTTAAGCTACCAAGTGTAAGTTTCCGGCGGCCCATTTTTTCAACAAGCCAGACTCCCACTAGAGTGAAAATGAAGTTTATAAATGCTGTTAATGCAGCCAGCCAAATTGCAAGCCTGTCGTCTTGAACCCCTGACATCTGCAGAATAGTAGCACTGTAGTACCTGTAAAATGAACAGAAGACAAATGTAAATTCCAGTGCCAGTTCACATTTTACTTAAATCATAGATTTATTCATAATATTAAAGCCTTACTAAATCTATTCTGACTTCCTGAATAAGGCAGGTAATTAAACTATCATCCAATTAACCTTGTACTGAGCCTAGTAAGTCATGTATGAACCATATTTTCGTGGGCAACTGGTGCCTGCTGAGTCGCCTGCCCCCCCCCACCAGTGGACAGTCAGCAACTGTGGGGAGTCCCCTCGCAACTGATCCTGCTGACCTGCAACTGGCCAGTGGCACTTCCAGGTCAGCGGGATTGGCTGTGGGGGGACCACTTTTCCTGGCGCACTCCCCAGCTGGCCCCCCCGGGTTGGGGGGAGGTGTACCAGCGCTCTCGCCTGCCCCTCTGCCTGACAACACTGCTATCAGGGGCTTGGAACATGAAAAATTAAGAGAGTGCACCAGTGCTCTCAGTGGGTGCATGTGCACCCCCGTGCACCCCCTATGCATTGCCTCTGCATATCTTCCAGAAATATATTCAGTCTTGTTTTGGAGAGATTAAAAGATAGAGAATCTACCACTCCTTTGGTATTTTATTCTAATGTTTAAACATTAGATAAAAATATATGCATTTATTTCTACTTTGGATTTGTCTGGTTTTAATTTCTAGCCATTAGCTCTTTTTGTATGCCTTTGTTGCATTAAAATGCCCTATTGCACCTAGTATGTCCATTCAGGGAAGATACTACAAAGGACAAATATGTCTTTCTTTTTTTCCACCTAATGGTTATACCTAAACTAATACACAGTAGAGGGAACACTGAAGTAGACTCTCATAATAATGGTCACTTGTTCTAGGGTTTTGCATTCTGACTGCCTATCCCACTGAAGCGTCTCAGAAACATTTTCTGTAGCATTAATCCTATCAAATAAAAATTACAGGTATTTTGAAAAAGGCTGGACAACATCTACATTTATAGCGTTTCTAATCCCAGTAGCATGAATAGGAATAGCAAATCTTTACACCGAGAAAAAAATGTGAGGAAGAAATAAAAAATCTTGTAGCTAAAGTGAAATACAGAATAGTTCCTATTCACAACCAATAAATGTAGCTGCTGATAGATTTCATACCCTTTAAAGTGTCACAAAATAACCAATACCCTTTCCTGGTAAGAAGTTTTTCCTATAAAAACATAAACAAAACAAACAAAACAAAATCCTTTGGCTGTTTGGTCCCTGACAAGGAAAACAATACACTGTAATTCACAGCAAGGATGTGAAAAACATAAAATATTACATTCTGATTGTGAGATCACAAGGGTTTAAAACCTTCAGTTTTACTCTCATAATGGACAGCATTTGTGCTTATTGGTTAAATGAGTTATAGTTGTGCTGGTTGTCAGTGGAGGCGAAAAGCCAAAAAAAGGGACATGAGAAATAAATTACAATTCCATTTAATCAAATTTCCCTATCATCTACATTTGGCATAAGGTTTTCTCTGCCTACCCAATTTCTTTTTAAGATCTCTGAAACATTTTGGGTACCCTTTCTTTTTCTTTTTCTGACTGAAAATTGATTTTAAAAAAGCTAATTTTTTGAGCGTGTATTTAAATTATACTTGTCAATTTTAGTTCTAGTTCTGGTTTTGTTATGGGAGAGCACTGGGTATTTGAAGTTTAAGCCTTTTTCAATATTTAAGGTTCTAAAGGAAGTGAGAAACTCTAGAATAAAGAAAAATACAGTGAAAGCTCTTCAACTATAAAAGTGTATGGACGACGATGATTGTGGTGAAGGCAGACAAAAGAGCAACAGAAGCACGACAGCAACGTAAAACGAGAGAAGTTGTAACAGGCTCCTGTTCATTTGCATTTCTTAGGAGTTCAGCACTAGAAACAAACCCCAGTGCTGCTCCCATTAACAAGCGGCATTAGCAATATTGACATTAACACTTCACTTAGTACATACCATCAGGGGAGGACAGAGGATTAGTACTCATCTGTCATCATTCATTATGTCATGTACCTACAGCACACTGATTGAAGTCATGACCATTCTGCTAGCTTGCTCCTAATTTTCAAGTAGTTTTATTCTGCTTTATTCAGGTATTTGGTTATTTCTGAAGCATCTGTGTACTTACATGAAGGCTCAAGGGCCAGTAGTGCACAATAGCTAACAAAACAGCTACTCAATTTTTTTCTCTCCAGTTTACCTGTTTAATACTTGCTTACCTTTAAAAAAAAGTTTGTTTTCAAAGGTAAAAAGGTGAGAGCACGACAACAAGTCATGCTGATATAATTTTTATTTCTCTCTGTAGCCAATCCAACATTTACACTGGAAACCTATCAGCTAGAGGTGTCAGTTACAATAGGCATGCTTAAATAATAATGAAACTGAAAATTTTATGCACGTTCTCATATATTTGGTGAGCTAATTTTAATTAAAAAAAATTACGTGTGTAATTTTTGTTTGTACTATACAGAGAACTTCACCTTTCTTTATTCAGCTGCACTGACTGAAAAATGAATTATTATATTTCCTCCAAAGATACAACAGCCCTTCTGGTTTTCTCATGGCAATCGCCATTCAAAATGTCACAGCTTACCTTTTATTTCAGCTTGCATCAAATGTCACCTCATTATCCCATAGCCCCACTCTTCCACCTTCTGAAATTTTGGAGGCAATGTTGTTTTATACTTGGGATGGAAGAGAGTTTATTTTAAGCAAATCAATTATGACTAAGTAGTCAGGGCTAAGAACCTGAAGTAGTATGCATTTCCTTTCAAAATGAAATTGTGGCATGCCTGCACTTAATTAGGATATGAAATGTCCAGACTCTTTGCTGCTACAGTTATGTCAGCAGAGCCACTAGTGAAGACAAGGGGTATGCCAGCAGAAGGATTTTTTTTAACTACATCAACTATAGCAGCAGGGGCCAAGCTTTTTAGCAGGTGTGTCACAAATTAGCCCTATACCTCCCTGAATGCCACTTTATGACCCCTTCCCCTGCCTGATCTGCTGCTCTGCTTTTTCTCCCTGTTGTTTCTGCCACTGTGCTGCCTGCCCCCTACCCAGTCTGCTACATGTTGCACACAAAGGCTGTCCATGCCACTTGTGGCATGTGTGCCTGAAGGCTGACACTCCTGAGCTACAGGATGCACCTACAGTACCTACAGTAGGGGTAGGCAATCCCCAGCATGGGTGCCAGAGCGTGGCATGAGAAGGCATTTTACTTGGCACGTGCACCTCAGGGTGGACAGCAAGGAAGGGGCCAGGGTTGCACTACCATGAGGATCAGGCCCTTTGAGGCTCCCCTGCCATCTGCCCCTGACATACCAGCATCTTACAAGTTGAGGTTGTGGGTGTTTTTGGCACCCTGCCCAAAAATGTTGCTAACCCCTGACCTATAGGATCAGCACCACATTCCCCACCTAATCAATGTAGCTATGCTGACAAAACTGTAACAAGAGAGAGATGATCTTCAAGTCCCATGGACAGTGCCTCTGCCCTATCACATAATTGCACAGGCACTTGGATCCTTTGTAGCCTATCCACTCCTTTACCTTAATGCATTGATTGTTGGCCCCTGTGGTACATCACTGATGTCTGGCTTCCACCTCGTGTTTTTTCATAATAATATCTGGACTTCTCAGTATTACACTGGTACTGCTGCTACAGTACCAGTGTAGCTCTTCCTAAATGACAGCAACTCGCGTAACAGAAGCCCTTTTCTGCTAACAAGAGCCACATCTACCGGGGGGAGTGGGGGGTGGGGAGGCGGGCTTTGACAGCAGAGCTACACTGGCTAGAAAGGGTTATCTTTTCATACCCCAAGGTGACACACCCATGCTGGAAAAACTTCACTGCTTACACCAAGCCTGTGTTTTTTCTTCATGACTTTGGCAGGATGACAATTTCACCCCAAGAACTAGTACATACCTCCGCAACTCAAGAAGGATCCTTCCTCCACCTTCCTTTCAAACGACTGCTCTATCTACTTGTTGCATCAGTCTTAACTAGAGTTTAAGTGCTTAACTATATCCCCAAAATTCCAGGATTCAATCAACTGTTTGGTTAAAAGATGTCTACTGGGGGACAAAGCAAAAAATTTGCCAAAGCATGAGCCACTAAAGTTCAGGTGTGGAGCCCAATTTATATAAAAGTTTTGGAGCTGAATTCTCTCTAAAATGGTATGGCAATATAATGTGTTAAAACTCCCAACTGCAAAAATGTCTGCTAGACTGTAATAGATAACCGACTGAATATAATGCTTGAGTTGATGCTTCAGTATCTCCCTTCCTGATGTCAACCTGTGCAGCTCTAACAGCTTATTAAATGTAACAAGCAATAGAAAATGACAGCACATTTTATATTCCTCCTGAAGAGGGAAAAAAAAGCCCCTCTGGCAAAAAAAAGGTCAAGTTATGACACTGTTTATAAACAGACATTACTGAACTTGCACCCAGTATTATAAGGACAGCAAATCCTGTGCACAGGAAACTGTTGGGTTTTTTTAAAAGATGTGGCCCTAAAACATTTTTTTAAAAATGGATGCAAATGACAAGAGATAGGTCTCCTACCTTTGGAATTTTAAACCTAGATTTAAATACCTGTAAAAGCTTTGGAAGTAGATAAGTGCAAAAAGACAATCACAAATTTTATTCTCATTAAAACATCTTAAATCATGATTTCTAAAGATGTGCCTCTTGAACTCGCATTACTTTTTACAAAACAAAATGATATCTCGTTAATTCTGTACATACAAAGAGTTAAACAGACACTTTTCTAAGCTAATCTTCATAAAATGATGTATTTGCTATACACACATATATAGAAAGACGGTGTAACAGGGGGCAAGCTTGGGCCATATCTCCTGCTGGCCCACCCACCCGTTTCTATGGGCAATCTGCCCAGTCTCTCCTGCCACGTCTTTGTTGTTTCCATAAACTGTTGACATAATGCGGGAGACTGCCCATTACTATCCCTATGCTAGGGGGTGCTAT